CCAGCACCAGTCACATAAAGAGTCCATAAGCCCCAATATGCCCACGGACAGTCTTAAAGGGCCATACACACCAAATAAAAGTGCATACATTTTCACAATCTCCCAGGGACCATAGTCATGCGGGAGGAGGCTGGCAAATAGGCTTCTCCACAACCCAGGGAAGCAGGGCAATTTGCCATTTAAAGGGCCAGTTACAAATAGCAGTTTGTAACAAGGTGTCAATCCATATCTGCCAAGTGACCCGATGTAGGGGGACCAGTCCCTATTCTGCTCTGTGTCAGTGTGTATCATGGTCTCTGAGGACAGGTGTCAATCCATATCTGCCAGATGACCCTATGTAGGGGGAGCAGTCTCTATTCTGCTCTGTGTCAGTGTGTATCATGATCTCTGAGGACAGGTGTCAATCCATATCTGCTAAGTGACCCTATGTAGGGGGAACAGTCTCTATTCTGCTCTGTGTCAGTGTGTAGCATGGTCTCTGAGGACAGGTGTCAATCCATATCTGCCAAGTGACCCTATGTAGGGGGAACAGTCCCTATTCTGCTCTGTGTCAACGTGTATCAGGGTCTCTGAGGATAGGTGTCAATCCATATCTGCCAAGTGACCCTATGTAGGGGGAACAGTCCCTATTCTGTTCTGTGTCAGTGTGTATCAGGGATCCTTAGGACAGGTGTCAATCCATATCTGCCAAGTGACCCTATGTAGGGGGACCAGTCTCTATTCTGCTCTGTGTCCGTGTGCATCAGGGGCTCTGAGGACAGGTGTCAATCCATATGTCAAGGTGTCATTATGTCATATGTCAGGTGTCAATCCATATTGATTGTGATTTAGGAATGTTAGGTGATTTCTGCCCTTTATGGATTAAAACCAGACTCTGTATCAACTGTGTACTTTTCCATGGGAGTTTTGCCATGGATCCCCCTCCGGCATGCCACAGTCCAGGTGTTAGTCCCCTTGAAACAACTTTTCCATCACTATTGTGGCCAGAAAGAGTCCCTGTGTGTTTTAAAATTCGCCTGCCCATTGAAGTCAATGGCGGTTCGCCCGGTTCGTCGGTTCGCGAACATTTGTGGAAGTTCGCGTTCACCGTTCGCGAACCGAAAATTTCGTGTTCGCGAACCGAATATTTCGTGTTCGCGACATCACTACTGTCAACTGTTGGGTCCCCTAAACAGACAGATCCCACTTCCTTGTCCAGAGTTTGCATCAGCCTGCCTACTGCCATCAGCCCTCGTCAGACTGCGACTCCCCAAGCCGACTCATCATTTCACTTCACTTTCCATTTCACTGGCCAGGAGCGCCGCCGGAGCTGTGACAACGAGAAAACAAAACCAGAACCACGAACAGACACCAGAAAAAAACAACAACCATTTATCAAGAAACACAGGGAGGGTGGGCAGGAAAGAGTGTGGGTCCTCTACACTCCTTCTGGATGACTGGTGAGTCCTCTCCCCTGTTCCTCCTTTTAATTCCCCTCCAACTTGCAACAATGTTAAGACTTTGTGCCATCCCACTTACTTATGGGCAGCAGTCATGACTGCCCTTCCTTTCAGTCCAGGGCTGTACTTTATAACAGACAATTGATTGTTCCACTGGATATTCACATTTGGTGATAATCTTTGGGCTTACTCCTGGTTTGCCTTTAGTACATATCTGAACTACATATCCTAGAAAAATGTGCTCATATTTTTATTTGTGTTTTTTTTTCATATTTATCCTTTAACATATTCAACATGTTTTTCCCAGATTTATTTTAACCCCTTAAGGACCAGACTATTTTTGCATTGTTGTACATTTGAGACCAGGCCTCTTTTTACACTTTTGTGGTGTTTGTGTTTAGCTGTAATTTTCCACTCTCTCATTTACTGTTCCCATACAAATTATATATTGGTTTTTTTAAGGACAAAAAAGGGCTTTCTTTACATACCATTATTTATATAATCTCATGTAATTTAATTTTAAAAATAAATAAAAAAAGATGATGAAAAATTTAAAAAAATACATGTTTTTTTACTTTTACTTGAAAAATCTTTTTCTTATCTACAAAAGCTAATGAAAAAACTGCTAAATAGATCCAAATCTTCTACTGAGTTTAAAAATACCCAGTGTTTAAGTGCTTTTTTTTTGCAAGTTATAGGGCTAAAAGTACAAGTAGGATATTGAGGTTTCTAAAAAACATACATTTTTAAAATGTTTTATTGTAACACTATTATCTGTCATAGATCTCTGAATCACACCCAACATGTACATATTTTTTTTTTAAAGTAGACAACTCAGGGTATTTAATATGAGGTATGTCCAGTCTTTTTTAGTATTCACTTAGTCACAAACACTGGCCAAAGTTAGCTTTCATATTTGTATGTGTGTGAAAAAAGTAAAAAAACTAAATTGAATGCTAATTTTGGCCAGTGTTTAAGTGGCTACTATAAAAAACTGGACATACCCCATTTGGAATACCTTGGGTTGTCTTCTTTTGCAAATGGTATGTCATCATGGGCTACCATACGCTCTCAAAGGCAATGTAACCAACCTGGCAATTTTCAATGTAAAAATATTTGACCCATATATTTGACCCTGTAACATTCAAAAATGCTATGAAACCTGTACAGGGGGTACTGTTATACTCGGGAGACTTTGCTGAACACAAATATTATTATTTCAAAACAGGAAAACGTATCACAACAATTATATCATCAGTAAAAGTGCTGTTTGTGTGTTAAAAATGCAAAAAAAGTCACTTTCACTGACAATATCATCACTGTGATATGTTTTACTGTTTTGAATCACTAATATTGGTGTTCAGAAAAGTCTGCTGAGTAAAACAGTACCCCCCATGTACAGGTTTTAGGGTGTCATAGAAAGTTACAGGGTAAAATACAGTGCTAGCAAATTAAACTTTTAGCCCTGGATGTCAGGCAGGTCCCTCAAATTACAATCAATAAAATTACTTAATTATGTAAAAATATTACATAAATACGCACATAGAATTTAAATATATATGCATATTTATATATTTGAAGTCTACGTGTATATTTATATGTAAATAAAAATTTCAGCGCTGAGTAGATAATCCCCTTAGAAATAAAAAAGGTGCATACATATGCAAAAAATGAAAAAATCAGGTAGAGAAAAATGTCCAAAATATATAGTTCTGTAACAAAGTCCTATAGTGAGAAAGTCCAGATAACGTTGTGATATGTAGAAACTCAAAAGCATGTAGGAATACCTTGAGAAAAAAGAAACAAAAAAAGATACATAGCGTGATACTGTATCAAAATTTATTGCCCAGAATACAAATGGAAAAAAATCCCCCCCAACTTCAAAACTCTTACATTAGATAAAATTTTGTACTCATCATAGTAGAAGTAGCTGATAAAGTTCTTTCAGAGCCGCTCGTGTTTTTCCCCCGGGACAGCTCCTCTCCGGTGCACTCAGGAGGGCTGCCTGTGATGTCTTCTATGGAGGAACGCTAACTGAAAGTCCGGCTTCTGTAGATTACTAAAAGTGTCTGCCGCAGATAAATCTTGCAGATAGACAGTAGTGGCACCCTATCAACGCGTTTCGCCCTGCTAACGAGGGCTTTTTCAAGATAGGTGCTCAGAGCATTATTCGGCAGTTTTATACTTGCCGGGTAAAACAAATTCAAATCTCTTAAGGGTATATACCCCTCTTAAAACACATGTAGAAAGAAAAACATATAAAAAAGGCTGCAATTTGTATAAACAAGGACAAAATACTTCCCAACAATAAATATAAAATACTGCACATAAAACACAATATTGACCTGATACAGTCTATATAAAAACTAAACTACTAAAAAAATAATAATGAATTTATACACAGATCCAAAACATAAAACAATCATTATAACAGTGATTGCTATATACATGTTTATACATCTCACTCCTGGATATCAATCTCCTAACTCTTATAATATCATGGGTATTATTTGATCATGATGTGTAAATAATAATAATTACATTCTTCACAGATGACCACAGAATATATAAATTCATCAGTAGTTTTCATCAAGTTAGAAACCTAATAGCAGATTGTATCTCTAGAACTGTAAAAAGAAGAATGTACTAGCTGGTATAGACTTATGGCATAATAAACTATGTCTAATACAGTAAAAACAAGATAAGACATCTCATAATAGTATATGTTTCTATATTGTAGGAACTCCTAACATATCAATCAAAACTTATATAATTCTCTATAAAATATATATATATAAAACATTAGTAATATCAGTACTTACAGCAATAGAACAATATAGATCTAGGATTCCCAACCATTTGGGCATATAAATTTCTACCTTAATCTAGACACTAAAAAAATAGGGCAATTAACTGAATATTGTATATATGATTTACAGCATGGGCCGGTATTAGTGCTGATCCCATGCTATAGTATATTAGCTAGTTCCAGCTCTGCATTAAGACCCGAGGGGATCAGGGTCTTAAGTGTATAGATCCAAAACATCTCCCGGTATGTTAAGGTTTTGCTCAACTCACCTCCTCTCCATGGTACTTCTACCCTTTCTATACCACAATATGAGAGAAGTGTAGGATCTCCATTATGGTGTGTTCTGAAGTGATTGGAGAGGGAATGTTTCTCAAAGCCCCTTTTAATGTTGTAAATGTGCTCTCTAAGTCTAATCTTAAGTGTTCTTTTGGTTTGGCCCACGTATTGGAGGCCACAAGGGCACTCCAACTTGTAGATAACTTGTTTGGTGTTACATGTGATACAACTCTTAATGTTAAACATTTCTTTTGTAATCGAGGACTGAAAGGTGGAATAATTTTTCCCTCTAGAGCTTAATTTGCATATATTGCAATTTCCACATTTATAGAATCCTTTTTGGCCAGTCAAAAAATGGTTGGGTCCTATAGGCTTATTATAACTATGTACCAGCCTGTCTTGCAGAGTGGGAGCCCCCCTAAAAATTACCATTGGTTGTGTAGGTAAAAGTGTAGCTAAAGCCGGATCCTGCCGAAGCAAATGCCAATGTTTTTGTATGCTTGTTTTTATGCAATATTTTTTTAAGCAAATTGCATAAAAACAAGCATACAAAAACATTGGCATTTGCTTCGGCAGGATCTGGCTTTAGCTACACTTTTACCTACACAACCAATGGTAATTTTTAGGGGGGCTCCCACTCTGCAAGACAGGCTGGTACATAGTTATAATAAGCCTATAGGACCCAACCATTTTTTGACTGGCCAAAAAGGATTCTATAAATGTGGAAATTGCAATATATGCAAATTAAGCTCTAGAGGGAAAAATTATTCCACCTTTCAGTCCTCGATTACAAAAGAAATGTTTAACATTAAGAGTTGTATCACATGTAACACCAAACAAGTTATCTACAAGTTGGAGTGCCCTTGTGGCCTCCAATACGTGGGCCAAACCAAAAGAACACTTAAGATTAGACTTAGAGAGCACGTTTACAACATTAAAAGGGGCTTTGAGAAACATTCCCTCTCCAATCACTTCAGAACACACCATAATGGAGATCCTACACTTCTCTCATATTGTGGTATAGAAAGGGTAGAAGTACCATGGAGAGGAGGTGAGTTGAGCAAAACCTTAACATACCGGGAGATGTTTTGGATCTATACACTTAAGACCCTGATCCCCTCGGGTCTTAATGCAGAGCTGGAACTAGCTAATATACTATAGCATGGGATCAGCACTAATACCGGCCCATGCTGTAAATCATATATACAATATTCAGTTAATTGCCCTATTTTTTTAGTGTCTAGATTAAGGTAGAAATTTATATGCCCAAATGGTTGGGAATCCTAGATCTATATTGTTCTATTGCTGTGAGTACTGATATTACTAATGTTTTATATATATATATTTTATAGAGAATTATATAAGTTTTGATTGATATGTTAGGAGTTCCTACAATATAGAAACATATACTATTATGAGATGCCTTATCTTGTTTTTACTGTATTAGACATAGTTTATTATGCCATAAGTCTATACCAGCTAGTACATTCTTCTTTTTACAGTTCTAGAGATACAATCTGCTATTAGGTTTCTAACTTGATGAAAACTACTGATGAATTTATATATTCTGTGGTCATCTGTGAAGAATGTAATTATTATTATTTACACATCATGATCAAATAATACCCATGATATTATAAGAGGTAGGAGATTGATATCCAGGAGTGAGATGTATAAACATGTATATAGCAATCACTGTTATAGTGATTGTTTTATGTTTTGGATCTGTGTATAAATTCATTATTATTTTTTTAGTAGTTTAGTTTTTATATAGACTGTATCAGGTCAATATTGTGTTTTATGTGCAGTATTTTATATTTATTGTTGGGAAGTATTTTGTCCTTGTTTATACAAATTGCAGCCTTTTTTATATGTTTTTCTTTCTACTTGTGTTTTAAGAGGGGTATATACCCTTAAGAGATTTGAATTTGTTTTACCCGGCAAGTATAAAACTGCCGAATAATGCTCTGAGCACCTATCTTGAAAAAGCCCTCGTTAGCAGGGCGAAACGCGTTGATAGGGTGCCACTACTGTCTATCTGCAAGATTTATCTGCGGCAGACACTTTTAGTAATCTACAGAAGCCGGACTTTCAGTTAGCGTTCCTCCATAGAAGACATCACAGGCAGCCCTCCTGAGTGCACCGGAGAGGAGCTGTCCCGGGGGAAAAACACGAGCGGCTCTGAAAGAACTTTATCAGCTACTTCTACTATGATGAGTACTAAATTTTATCTAATGTAAGAGTTTTGAAGTTGGGGGGGATTTTTTTCCATTTGTATTCTGGGCAATAAATTTTGATACAGTATCACGCTATGTATCTTTTTTTGTTTCTTTTTTCTCAAGGTATTCCTACATGCTTTTGAGTTTCTACATATCACAACGTTATCTGGACTTTCTCACTATAGGACTTTGTTACAGAACTATATATTTTGGACATTTTTCTCTACCTGATTTTTTCATTTTTTGCATATGTATGCACCTTTTTTATTTCTAAGGGGATTATCTACTCAGCGCTGAAATTTTTATTTACATTTGTTTTTTGGAATTGGGAATATTCTTTTTGTTTTAGCAGCTATTACTGTTTGAGTACATTGGGTACTATTTTTTATAGTTTCATTTTGAATATATATAGACTATTACATAGGTTTTTTACTTTGTAATACATGCGCTCTCTTTTTGATCATTTATAGTGTATATTTATATAATTATTTATACAATTTTGTATATGGACATTTCGTATTATTTTTATTTATTTATATATACATAGATATATATACAATTTCA